TACAATAAGCTCAACGCCGCCACCATTCCGGCACAGACGCCGATTTCTAGAAAGGATGTTCAACAACATGGTGGAATGTACGAAGTACAGTGCACTCGACTTGGTAGTTGGGTTTTACCAATTGCTCATAAAAGCGAGTTTTATGCAGCTGACAGCGGTTAGCACTCCGGAGCAGCATGCTCTGATGTGGGCTGGAGGGGGGCTGTCAAATGCACCGGCAACATTTGATTGCCTTGGGACGCAGTTGTTCAAGCTCCACCGGGCGTATGCACAGACATACTTCGACGACATCTTTATCCACAGTCGTGCGGGGCACGGGAGGACGAATGTAGAGAGCCACATCGTCCTCGTCCATTGAGAGCGGTGCTCGAATGTATGCGCATGAATAAGCTTACAGACAAGTGCACCTTCGGCTCTGAAGAAATACCCTTTAGGGTACCTCATTGGGAAGCGTGGCCTTTGAGCGGATCCCGTTAAGGTTAAGGTCTTGTGGACCGGCCGGTTTCAAAACTTTAAAAAACTTGCGCAAGGGGCTTAGCCTCGCCAGCTACTATCACAAGTATAGCGAGAATTTTGCGCACTGCTGCAAGCAGACGCCGAGGAGCGAGATTGGGTGATCGCGTTCCAATCTTGGCAGCTTAAGGCAGTGGAGAAGATCCACTCGATCTACGACAAGGAATTACTTGCGATGAAGCATGCACTTGTCAAGTTCAGGGTCCACCTGCTCGGCTCAAAGCCGTTTCTGATCTACATAGATATGCGTCACTACGCACTGCGACTCAGTCGCCTCATCTCTTGCAGAGGATGACCAGTTGCTCTCATTCATTGCAAAATATACTTCGAGGTAAAGTATAGGATAGGAAAACATAGTACTTTGGCTGATGCGTTGTCACGCAGACCGGATTATGAGCTTGCTCATGTCACGACAGTGACGTCGTCAGTGACGGATTTGATTCGCACCGCATACGCGGGTCATAGTATGTATGTAGCGCTACTACAGGTGCTTGGAGCAACGAGTCCAGAAACTTGGACAAGAATTTTTTGACGCTATTGCGCGCACGGTTCCATGGATATTCATTGAGTAACGAGTTGCTGTATTGTATCACAGATTCGATGGATACGCCGAAATGTGGTACTCATGATAAGGATTTGAATTATCGTATCCGCTATGAGGCCCACCACTCAGTAGTCATCTCAGTCGTGAGAAGGCGTACAGCTCTGTGAGTTGCCACTACTGGTGACCAAGGCTATACAAACGGACGAGCGTATATGTGCGCGCGTGAAAGACATGTCAAAGGGAGAAGCCCTCTCCGAATGCGGCGGCGCCGCTTGCAAGTTACTTGTATCCACTGGGTGCTGGCAGTTCATGAGTATAGACATTTGGTTTTTTGCCTGCCGAAGGACTCGGAGGACAACACGGGTTGCGTGGTAATTGTGGACCGTTTGAGCAAGATGGCTCATCTTGCGGCAGTACCGGACACCATCGACGGTGTGGATACAACGACGCTGTTTGTAGATCGTGTCCTTCGATAGCATGAACTCCTGGAGTCAGTTGTCTCTGTCAAAAACCACGCTTCATTGGAAAGTCAGTTTTGGTCGACTGGGTGTTGGGCACCAAATTGACTATATCAACTGCGGACCATCCGCAGCTTGATGGTCAAACTGGGCGCAAGAATAGTGTCGCTGAAAACGTCCTTTGCTGCGTCTGCGCTGAGACACCGAGGCGCTGGAGCGTCATGCTGCCACTTGTGAAGTTTGCTACGAGCAATGCAGTGCATGCGTCAGCCGGCTTTACTTAAATCTACCTTAATGGTCTCGTTCATTCTCGCATCCCGCTGACGCCGCCATCCTATGGCTCAGGGTATGGTGGGGGAGGAATAGCCCAGCTGCTGGCTGATGTCAGCCCCCTCAGTGTGCGTAACGAAGTCGAAGACTTCCTGCCTACCAGACTGAGCGTCTCACGACACGTTCGCGAGGCGATGGTTGAAAGCCAAGACACGCAGAATGAATATGCAGTCGAAAAAGCAGAAGAAATATTGAAAGATTGAGGTCGACGACTCAGTTTTATCAAATGCAAGAAACCTTCCAGCACATGCAGTTTCTGCTGTCTGTAAGACGAAGCGCAGCTTACGGTATTCCAGTATCATATGCAGTGGCGGTGATACGAATTTGTGGGTGTTTGAGGTGCTACTTTGGCAAGACTGCCCAGAAGTCGTGTACGCTTATGATCGGAGAGGTCATGACATGTACCCGCGTCATCGTACACCCCGCACTTCTCAGCAAAAGCCGGGGAAGCCGAAAGTCCACGAGCTGAGCTCAAGTTATAGCCCTGAGCTCTGAGGTCGCAGAATCCCCGTGTGAGAGCCCGCAGGAGCGTGATGAATTGTTCTATAGGTTACAGGGCGATGATACGTAGGAGGTCGGCATTGAGCCTTGGATTTGGCAAACCCGAACCGAAGATGGCGTTCTATGCGCACGCCCCACCTCCCTGTGACTCCGCTGTTAGTTGGAAAGCTAGGAAAGCTATTGCTCAAACAGCTCTTAGTCACCTGCAGCGGTTTCAGCAGGGGTGAGCACACGGGAATTTTCCGCATCGCGGGTACAAGAGCGCTTTCTCTTTGAGCGAGAAGTCGAGCGCGGTACCTATCCATTGAGATGTCTTGAGGTACCAAGAAGCGAGCTAAGAGAGTTTTTCAGTTGTCAAGCTCAGCTTGTACTGTGATCGTGGGCCCAACTACGTATGCGCCTAACGATCGAATGATCGCGTCTTTCGCTTCAGTAGCGGGGTCCGCTGAGCGGAGGCCGTATTTCACCCGAAGATCTAGGACCGACCGTAGATACGAGTGCATAAGAGCCACCCTGTATGTAGCCGCCAACTGCTGCTCATTTGCCTCGTCGAGGCGATTGGTAATGATTCCACTCCCCCCTCCCGGAAGTCGAGTTGTCGGAAGACGGACTAGTGTCCGCAAGGTTCGAGCAGGGCTCACCCGCGCCCTCCTCTTCTTTCCATAATGGATAAAAGTATCCGACTAGTAGTCGACTTCCTCAAATTCTCTACGAGGAAATCCGTCGCTCGTGGCCGGCGTGGTGTGTGGCGCCAGGTTGCCGAGGGCTTGGATATGTTTCCCGTGAAGCCGCGGACGTGCTGTCCAAAGTGGCACCCCGTGCAGGGGACGAAGAAGGACTCAGCCCGCGGGCGCTCTCGGAGTCAGCGAGGCTGAATATTTTTCGTGTCACATACAAAGGTCTTACTGAGCAGAGATGCATACTTCAGGTCCTGAAGACTTAAACGTGCGTGAGACACGCAAGCTTCGTACGAGGCAACAATTAAATGTGATTGCGCGTATTCACAATTCTGATGGGGGAGAGTGTAATGAGGTTACACGTATACTGATATATAGGAATGGGTCACACAAGATGGTGTGACCACATAATGGTGTAGCTATATCTCACCAAGAAGCCGCTACGTGGCGGTACTGCCAATAGTTATGCATCTCAATTCGGTTGTGCTATCTAAACCCTGAGCGGAAGAGTATACTAGCCTTGGGTTGAGGTTGTGGATACTCTTGGAGTAAGCGGATTGTGACCGCTACACTCGTACTGGATCTAGTATAGAACATAAGATCGGTGACCTAAGCTTAGTTTTTTAAGCAAAGAGCTACGGCAGCAGCCCCGCATCTTATTTTCCCACATTTGGTGTCTTACTAAGATGTCTTACTAAATCCAATTCCCAGTGTCTCTTTTTCGAACAAAGGCTTGCATACGACAACTGTTCTGAACAACCGCAGCTTCAACCTGGTCTCGTACTTTGGGTCACATACAATAAAATCTTAAGCTTTGTGGCTATGGTGCACGATACCCTTACGTTTGACCTATTACAATACATCTTTTCCTACATCATAAATAAAAAATTACTGGTTAGCCTAAAAGACTAGAAAACCCAGAATTTATAACATGCATGTTTAACATCATAATACTGAGCATCTTCGATCTACGATCATACCCAAAAGCCATCTCGCCTTGATCTGCATGATGTGCACCCGATCGTCAGTGAAAAAAATTCCCCTAAACGCTCTACCTTGCTGTAATTGAGTATAAGATTTCTCGATCGACTAAACAATGCTTTGTGTGTAAGAATATGGACCCTCCTTACCATAAGCATGCATCACTTAGCCCAAAATATCCGGATATGTCGCAAATGTGCACGTTTGTTCAAGTATAATTACGTGGCTATTCAAAGATCGTCTGCTTTGTTCAGTGAGTGTGGTAGCAGGAAATTTTTTGGTCGATTCCGAAATCGGCGAGTCCAGCGGTTTCACCGGCTCCGTCCTAAAACTCTAACCAGACCGTCAGTATATATCAATGTTTGGAACAGCGGCAATATTTAGCTGCCATTTGACAAAAATGTCGACTTTGATACGGCTGTACTCGCCTCTTTCACCACTACCAAGAGAATGTTAAAGAAAAAGAGGGTCAGTAGCCGTTAAAAAGCCTACGGTATTTTTTCTAAGTCTAGCCGTTACAAACTCTCCGCCTCCCCATTCATAACCCACGCACGCGCGACCAGCACAGGTTTCGACTGCCAAAGTAACGCAGCTGTGACAATGACCGATACAATGTGATGATTGCATTTCACATTGTCGTTTATATCATCCCTGCCCACTTTTCGCCCCTTTTTTATTTCTGTAAAATTATTAATTTTGTTAAGTTCGTACTATTTTTCCAAAAGAATGCGTTGACTATCATTTTCTTAAAATTTCAATCTAACGCTAAATTTTCAGAGCTGCACAATATCGTGGTGGCAAACATGCTTGCCATTGTATAAAATATTGGCCAGGCCGAACGGGCTGTGAGAAACGTTTTCTAAAGCGTGTCAGGTTTTAATTTCCTAGATCGATGAATAACCTACCTGATATGACATATTCTAGTCAGCAATGTTCTCATTATTATTAATGCAGCTCTGATTAACATAAAGTGCATCGGTTAACGCTGTAGGGAAGCTACAGCGCCATAATGTAGTTTCCTTTGGCCGAACGTTTCATGGATGAAAAGAAGGCCAATGCTGCTTGGTGCGTATAATCATCGCCACAACGTGCTAAACCGGCACTTTGCACAATGTCAGCCTAAGCTAATAGATTTGGCGTTGGCAAAGGCTAAGAGTTTAGGCTTGAGTCAGAAGCAGAGACGAACGCTGTCAGTGTAGCAAAGTCTAGTTTGCTCTAGAATTCTTTCATTACAGGCTAACGCTGAATGCATGCGTATTCCACATTTCATAATAGGACTGTATCTTGTCTTTGATTTGCGGTCAGCGGCTGACGTGTACCACGGAATTCTGCATTAATTAGTTATGCATCTTTGTAAATACCAATTTGTCTGAATATACACAGTTTATACAAAAATGCAACGCGATTGTACAATAGTACAATCCTATATTTGGTACTAGAGATGTGAACTGCACGGGGGACTTCTCAATTTGCCGGCTACTACGCAAGTCAAATCCCTAGAAGTACTCCCCAACCCCCAGCCCTCCACTCCGGTTGCTACTCCCCTTTCTGAAGATGAAATATCCGGCTGCTTCCGCCTCCGCATCCCAGGCCGACCAGCCCCCTCGCGCTGTGATTGGCTTGA